CCCAAAGACGCCTATGTGGGAGCCTGTGTTGTGCCAAAGGTGGAGGTGGCGGTCCAAGCCCGCAGTAATGACCTTCGTACAACTATGGTCGCACTGAACACTCACCACCTCTGTAAGGTGACATTGCCAGGAGCCCAATAGAGGAGGTTGAGCCAATGACACGTGCCACCCATTTCTATCCTCAAATGGCTCTTCCTTTGCCTGTTTTCTGAACCCAAAACTTGCAATGTCCCACTGACAAAACTTGCCAGTACTATCCCAAGTCATTAATATCTGTTCTTCGAGGTCAGTCAACATGGTGTTAATGACGGCACCTTCCTTATCTACTGCCCTGAACTTTCCTATCAAACCTCCATTGATGCTCACAGACCAGGCACATATGTAGCCATCTGAAGAAGTCAGCAGTGTGGCTGTGTCATTTTTGACCTTCCTTTTCTTCAGACACACAACAAGATTGTCTTTCTTGTTTTCAGTCTGAGATTTTTGGGGATTATTTTCATCAGGTCGACTCCCTGTCAGTCTTCTGTCTACCCTGAATGTTCGAGGGCTCTTACTGTCATTCATCCAGCAGAGAGCCTTGCCTTGGTCAGTATCCCAGATAACAATATTTCCATTGCTGGAGGCAGTAATCAGTGTTCCTTCATGAACACCCATTGAGGAAATGTCCTTTAAATAATGGTGGCTAAAACAGCTGTAGTTGCCCTCCATATCCAGGTCATAAATGATGTTGGAGTTCATTCCCGACACATACACCCTATTTTTCGAGCAGACAATACCTGTCACCTTCTTTGGCAAGGTAACGGGAAGAACGGAAAGTAATGCTCCGCTGTTAAAGTTCCAGAATTTCAATTTCCTATCCTGAGAAACTGTGATTAGTTTGCGCTGCGTTTCATCAAATGCAATGGTAGTGTGCCCCACATGCTTATCTGGAGTTACCTTGAACTTTGAGGTGACCTGTCCTGTTGAGACTTCCCACACGGTCACCACACCATCCTGGCAAACAGAGACGACCTGTTTGTAAAGTATGTTATAGAGAGCACAGCACAGGGGCTTGTCATGGGATGTTATTGCATTTTGAAAAACATCTGTTCCTCTTCCAAGATAGGATCCTATTTTGGTGTTAGC